GAGCAGTGATTGTTTTGAGGAACATTCTGTGGATTTGAGTCAAGTTCATCATATTCAAGAGTTCCCTTTTCAAGCATGAATCTGCGGCTTATAGTTGGGCGGTTAGGAAGGAAACCTGCATAAGGGTACTGTCCAAAGTTGACAACAACATGGACCATCGAGAGCCGAAGCTATATATCCATATGATTATGGTGCATGTTTCTATCAGCTTTTCGCGTTTCTGCATTTTAGGCCACCAAGGCTCATGTTTCTTGTCGCCATGACCCTCTTCTTGTAATTCCCTCCTCCAGGATTGTAGTTTAGAATCATTTTGCATCATTTCACATAAATCTTTCCCATTTTTGGATATCCCATTGTAGTAGTCCACTTTGAGAAGTCAATTTACATAATTTATAACTACCCTAAATTACCATCATCCAATGAGTATGCACAGAATGATGTGGAAAGCAGAAACAAGTAGAATCAGAATGCAATTAAAGGCATCCCCGTAAAAAGTTTTATGTTAAAAAAGAAAAAAAAAATTAAGCTGGAAAGAGTATTTGCTGTTTGACTTTGAACGCAACCACCTATATAAACAAATTAACAATGTTGAGGAAGTAGGCTAAGAATGTTATATTAATGGAAAGATAAATAGATTATTTTGAAGATTACTGGAAATGTTTAGGGAAATATGTTTAAATGTCAATTTGCTTGATGAGCTCAATAGAGAGAGGGCGTTGTTGAATCTTCCTCTTGAGATAAAACCCTACGGGGGCGTTTGGTTGACGGTAATGTGAGATTATTGGGGTAATGTCATCTTATATTACTTGATTACCACATTTGGTTGTCAAGTAATATAAGATTCCGGTAATCTTTAAATAGCAATAGTAGTTACTATTGGTAATATTGGAGGTAATCTGATTACCTCCATTTTCTTAGGTATTCTAAGATTACCAGGGTTATCTTTTTTTGTTACAATTTTATCCCTTATTAATAAAAGTTTTGTACAATAATGCCCTCATTTTAAAATAAATTTACATTAATATCCTATTTCAATTTTACCCTTGTTTAACTAAAATTTTGGACAATAATGTCCTTATATTTAAAAGAATTTACAGACCACCACTGCCACCCAGCCACCACCGCCGACAGCGGCTAACCACCACGGACCGCCGCCAAAAAGTCATCGGAGTCCCTAAAAAAGAACGAGATTTGGTGGGAGGCTTCGAAAGGCTTCGATATGGCCGTTTCCAGCCATATTGATGGCCGAAAAATGCCATATCATGCCAGATGTATTCTGGTCATTTCCAACTAGATTTGGGCGAGATCTGGCCATTAACAGCCAGGGACATGGCCATTAACGGCCATATCTATTCTAGCCGGAATTTATCTGGCCGTTAACGACCAGGTCCCTGGCCGTTAAAGACCAGATCCATGGCCGTTAATGGCCAGATCTCGCCCAGATCTGGCCGATAATGGCTAGGGATCTGGCTATTAATGGCTAGATCCATCGATCTGAACGGAAATGGCCAGAATAGATCTGGCCAATTCCGACCAAATCTGGCCTGATATGGCCATTTTCGGCCATCAATATGGCCAGAAACGGCCATAGCAGAGCCTCTTGGTCATAGTGAGCTGTTGATGGGGACTTTCGGAGACTTCTGGCGGTGGTCTGCGGTGGCGGCAGGAGGTGGGGGTGATTTCATAATAAATTAAAGTTTTATATAAGCGGAGGTGTTTTAATTCTGAAAACCAGACCGGATTGCCCGGTCGGACCGGTTTGATAGGCAACCGGCCGCAAATCCGGTCCGATATATAAAAAAACTGCCATTTTGATTTAAACCGGATTGGACCGTGATTGGAAGGCTGGAATAGTGCCAAATCACGGTCCAATCGCAGCTAAACCCTGCCAGATTCTGGCATCTTTCGACGGAGAAAACACCCCTATTTGACGGACGACATCTCCACGACCAAAACCATCCATTTTCAGTCGCCGTCGTCCAGCCTACGTCGATCGTCGTCCACCTAAACTTCACGTGACGTCGGATTTCTTTTGTTGATTCCGACGAGTTCCGACGACGATGGAACTCCCTAGCACCACTATCAAAGTCGCCGACACCGACACCTACACATCAAAAGCCCCAAGTTCCAGCTTCGATTGGTCGACGATCATCACTGCTGCCACCACTCACTAGAATCTTCGCGCGACAGGGGTTTTTTAGATAGATTTCAAACCTTAAGGGAGTATTTTAGGGGTGTTTTTGATGAATTTCAAACTTTTAGGGACTAAAAATAATTTTATAAATTACTGTCCAACCAACCAATCCAACCAGTCAAACTGGTCAAACCAAAAACTAGACCCTTGAATGGGTCATTGTCCGGTCTGATTTTCAGAACATTGGTTTTAACTAAATCTGAAATATTGGGGGTTAAAAGAAATTCTTCAAAAATTAATAATAAAAATAATATTATATTAATATTTGAAAAGTGGACAATTTAGGTATTTAAATAACATACACACCAACTAATCAAACACATTTTCCTAAAGATTCTCAGTAATCTTCCAAGGTAATCTATGCTTCTAGTAATCCAACATTTCCAGTAATCTAACATTCATGAACCAAACGCCCCCTACAAGTTCTTCATCAGTTGGATGAAACCTGAACTCTGGAAGCAAGACTTCGTCCAGCTTCTCACCATCATTTCTCTCCTCCATTACTAAACCCAAACCCAATATTTCAAAAGTGAAGAGCTAATACCTGTTGCACTTTTGAGCAATGTTTTAAAACCTGTCCTGGCCCGGCCGGTTCAACCGGTTCAACCGAGACTCGAAAGCTTCAACGGGCCGGATTTAATTTTTTCCTATTCACCCAATACCCTAGGATTTTCGGTGATGATCGGCAAACAATTAACTGTTGGAATGTTAGGGCTTTTGAAGAGCAATTTCCGGTGAATGTAATGGTGGTGAAAGATTTGATTTTCGATGAGTAAATCGACCGGAAATCGAACAAAACTAGCAGTGGCAACGATGAGATTTTTCCGGTGATTGACAAGGCTAACGGGGGTGAGGTAAGGTGGGTTTTAGTTGGGAGGAAAAGGGGAGTAATTCTGGGGTGATGGGGAGGGTTGTTGTTGCCGGAATCGATGGGATCTGGCCTGGAATGCCAATGCCGACGTCGATGTCGGTGAGATCTGGTCGAAATCAAACCTATTTCGGCCAGATCTTGGGTATATTTTGATGGAAATGTGCTCAAGGGACGATTGAGGTTGCATCTGGGGTGTTGCCGTTGCTAATTAGTCGCCGGTCGATTTGCAATTGGGGTGTGTTTGATAAATTTCAAACCTATAGGGACTTAACAAATTTTTAGGGGTATATTTGATAAATTTTAAAATTTTTTGTCAACTGGTTTGACCACTGGTCAAACCGGTCAACCTGAGACCCAGAAGCTTTGCCGGGTTTCACCCCAGGTTGGGTTTTAAAACATTGCTTTTGAGCCTTAAAAAGTGTTTGAAGCAACCCTAAAAAACAAGAAACCCTAAAAAACACAACACAGAAAGAGAAGTGAAATCTAAGAGATAACCAAGTTGTTAATTAACAGTGAAGTAATAAGTAACTCCAGTTAATAAGAAGGCAATATATGCTCCCTGAGGAGGGGTCTGCCTCCGAAGGATCAGCCGCCCTTTCTGGTGACTTTTAAAGAAGTGTGCGTTTGGCGAGGAACGCGCTGGCTCAATCAGACCTAATGGCTAACCTCTTAATAGAACAACTACCGAGAAAATGAAGTAAATAATGAAATTCGTGCTGGACTTCTCTCACCACCGGTGGGGAGTAAGAAAAGTAAACGGGGTGGTATGTCTCGTTTTTCTTTTCTTCACTAGGGCCCACTTACCCTCAATTCTCAATATAAATTCCCCTTCACTCATTGAATCAATTTCATAAAAAGCCTCAACCCCAAACAAAAGCATTCAATTCTTCAAACCGAAAACGCCCAAGATCAGCTCCATACTTGATTCCTTCCTATCTCTATCCAAATATCATAACCATGCAATTCTCCATTGATTTGAGGTTTCTTCCCTTACCACTACTAAATATTTTCATTTTCTTTCTATTAAGGAAACCCCAAGTCGAAAACATTCTTCAATACCCATTTCTATTTATCTTGTCACTAATTCTTGCTCTTCTCTTATTACTAGTTTTCCTCTTCACACCCATCACACTTCCTCTTAGTATGAGCCGTCCCATTCTCTTGCGTCCTGAAAAATTTTCTCTTCTTCTAGCTCTGTCAACCCTGGCATCATTCATTTTACAACCCTCTCATTTCTTAGTAGCCTATTTATTTCTCATTATCCTATCTCCATGTTATGCATTACTATGGAGTATGATTAAACTTTTCTTCAATTACCTTCTTCACACTCTACGATCACTTCCTACCATTTTCATCAATTGGGTCAACCAAAATCAAGAAAACTCAGAATCACATCTTGCTCCAATTGAAGAGATTGAAGTAGAAGGTAACCTAATGAAGCATGATCCGGAGTAAATTCAGATTATAGGTTGTTAGTGTCTCTATAGAGACAAGGTGATAGTGGTTATACTGCTATATTAAAAATCTAATTCAAGACTTGAAAATTGGTATACATGTGGTACAAAGGTTGAAACTACCGGTTCTTTTAAGTTGTTGTTGTTTCAGTAATTAGTAAGTTATGATAATTAGTTATTTGTTAGTTAATTTGATTTTGTACTGACCACTAGGTCCATTACTTGTATTTTATGTTTCTTTTACTATATTAATATATATAATAAAGGAATTGTTTTTGCCGTTGGATTTTGATATATTAGATCTTGGTTAAAAACAAAAACAAAAAATTATATTCACTGTTTGCTCGTATTCAAATAAAAAGAAAATCTAGAAAAAAAATAATAATAAAAATGTACTATTTTAATAATATAATAAGAAAAAAAGTATAAATAAAATATACTTTTTCGTGAAGACGATAGGTCGCACTCTCTTTCCCAATCCCAAACCAGAACGCAAGTAAAACTTAGTAAAAGAGCAAATACCCACAATCTGTTTCAGCTTGCTCTCTCTGTGTGATGATGATGCCCGTTTACTCTATCTGGTTTTATTTTAGTGGTAGTGTTGTTTCTAGATCTGGCTGCTCTGACTGGTTTCATTTGGCCGCGATTCCAAACTTGGAGTGTTAGTTCTCTTTTCTCCCTTTTTCTTCTACAATAGTTTGTTTTTGGGTTCAAGATTTGGGTCATCGTAGTTGCGGAAATTGTGAATTAAATTGAAAAGATGCCTGGCAAAAACAACCCTTGTTTGTTTTATAAAATATTCTCAAAGAGGGATGAATTTTCACTGTGCTTTGTGAAGGGAGAGTTTATGGACGATTCAAATTCTCCCTCTTAAGCTTTCCTCTCTAGTTACTCTCCTCTCTATTTATAGGTTTTCTAACTATAAGTATCTCTTTGATAGATATTTGAGGGATTATGTTAATCTGATTCGAGTTTTGAGACTAAAATATAGGTTTTTGTATTGATTTGAAGCTCTTAATTTAGGTTCTTGTTCGTTATTTATATTTTGGGAAATTGGAAGACTAAGAAGCTAAAAGTGTACCAAACTATTTACAAACCGTTAATCTCCGAGCTTTACTCTAGTCATTAAGTTTTGAAACTTGTTTATTCAATAATTCTTTTTGGGGCTTGATTATTGCAGTTTTAATATGCTCTTTTGCTCTAAATAATCTGGGATTTAACCTTATAATTTGTTTATATGAAATCAGAAATGATAAAACAAAAGGCTTTTGTTTTGCCACCAAAACTCGGAAATTCAACATCAAATCTCTCTAGAAGTTCTCCGAGGATCAATATGCATGGTAATATACAATTCCACTTGGGCATATGTGTTTATTCACCAGTTCCTGACTTTGTACTGATCTTTGTGGATTAGGAGAATTTATTTTGCTGGCCTCAATGTTATTCTATCATGGACCAAGGAAGAGTCACAACACCTAGTAGTGTGGGATTCTCGGTGTCTTGAAAATTCAAATCAAGATTAACTGAATAATGCTTACAAAGGAACTGCTATAATGAGTCATCCAACAAATGTGAAGATCCTGATAAGAAAGGTTCTTGCAGTCGTATCTTTTTGTTGAATATTATGCATTAGGCTATGCGTCACTTATTCTATCTGTAAAAACTTCTGGATTTGGTAGTATCATGGTGTTTCAGTTATGCCATGTTTTAGAGTGATATGCTGTTGAGTTTGTTTTTTCATTTCCAGAAAGCTCTGAGATTGAACTTCGAATGCTTAAACACTGGACTTTAAATGCACCTAATTAATCAAGTTCCATTGTGCTATAGTTTTGAATGGATATGTTTTCTCATGATGGTTGGATCTTAATTTTTAGAATGCTTGAGATTGATCAATTTGTTAATGCCAAAGGTCAGATTCATAAATGATATTCTTTCCATCCTAAAAAATTTTATCTGCTCTTTTTCCAGGATACATTTTTCTAGAGTTTAAGAACTTTTTTGTTTCGACAATATTATGGCCATATAGAACTCTCATCTTGGACTGTAATAACATTGTCAGATTCCATAGAAAATGCTTTTCTATAACCAATTTAAACGTGATCAGGGCTGCCTTGTCAACTGGAAATGAATGGATATTTAAGCATTCTGGTGAGTGGTTTCAGGTTTGAATGTTCTCTCCATCAATAGTGATTCAAGTAATCAAATTGTGGATTTCGTTCAACATACAGAGCTTTTTATTAACTTCTACTCTGAGTACCTAGCGGATAGACAGAGAAGAGAATATCTGCAACTAGTAACTCTCGTATCTTCCTGGATCTTATACCCTTCTCTTGAATGTTGACTTGAAAATTTTGTTTCACTGAAAATGTTTTCTTTAATAAATAATTTGTTTGGTGAGTGAAACTTATAATAAGTGGATAGGCATAGACATTGGATGAATGTCTCTGCTAAATCTTGCATTGCTTCTCCTCTATAACTCTTACTAGTTTTTTTTTTTTTCTTTAAATTATGAATCAGTTCTTGAAATTGATTCAAGAAAATGGCCCCTGGGGAGATTAATAACTACATAAAGCTATAAAAACACGTTTATAAAAATGAGTCAAAATGTTTTTAGAAATAGTTCATAATTCACAAGTACAATTGACCATAATCCATAATGAGATTAAATTTATTATGGTCAATGGTTAACCATAAATGTTTTTAGTGTGGCCGCAAGAGGACTCTAAATTAAACCCCACCTCAAGCAAGACATCAACTTCTCTCGTCGTGAAGAAGAGACTTTTAATATTGTTCTTGTCAAGTGTGTCCAGCCCGCTTCTCACGAATGGGAAATGGGCCCAATATCCAGTTTGCAGAGCTATGGAGTCTATATCAGAGTTTCTCGAACCACTTTCATCACAGTCTACAAGTGTCCGGGCCAGTCAGCTAATTTTCTAGGCCCAAAGTTGGCAGTCAGGTAAATCCTAGCGTGACCACCCCTATTAGCAACTTATCTCTTAAATAATATATCTAAAAATCTTAGTTGACTGTTGAGCCACCCAACAGTGGTAGAGCTGGTTCAATTTCTTATTACAAAAATATGACATCTATGCAGGTAAAAACTAACCATGTATTGGTTTTTATTGTAGTCCGTGTATAATAGATAATTACAGTTTCACCCTTAGGAATATGTAAATTAGCAGATAGATGCTTGTACTTTTTGTTTCTTCAACCACTTTTACTATGATTCATTATCCAAGAAAGAGGGATGGAAATTGTCTTTCTATACATTCAACTTGATTGGCTCTGTTTATGGTTAATTTTCGTGGGAACGGAACGTGTAGTAGTGAGTCAAGTTCATCAAAGAAATCAAAGTTTTGGACATGTATAATTGTTCTCTGAATCCTTCATGGTGCAAGAACTTACTGTTTGTGAATGGATGGAATTCCTCAGCTATTTATATTTATTTTTATGTTTTGATAGTCTTACTTAGCAAATATGTCTGAACTTGTTCTTTTGATATTTAGGATCTCTTTTTGTTGTGCCAAANGTCCCTTTGATGTTCCTGCACTCCCCCTTGTGGCATTTTATCTTCTTCCCGCCGCTGTCGTGGCCAGTTACGGCGTCTATAATTTTGTGAAACATGGAGAAGTTATGAACAAAAAACGAAGAAGAAGAAGTGAAGGTTTGGTTATGGAGAAATAAGAGAGAGGGAGAGAGAGGATATTTATAGGGGGATTGAAGGAGAAGTTTCAATTTGTTCATACTTTGAGAGAGGCTTCATTTGCATTTCCTTCACTCCTTTTCTGAAGACTTTGATCTTTCTAACACTTTTATTCTTCGTCTTCGACGTGTAATGTTTCTATCGTCTCATGACGTGGAAGATTTATTCCACCTTACTTTGAAGGCGCGTGTGCTGCATGCATCCTCGCTACCTAGTACCTATGGAGTACGGACGCCTTTTTAGAACAAGAAAGAAATATGTTAAATCCACAACCTAATCTCACAACCCCCGATGTGATAGGTTGTAATCGATCAGCTCATAAATAGGTTCAGTCTACTTATTGTGGGTATCGTTTATCTAACCAACGGTAAGCTGTCATGTCAAAGATTGTAAGAGAAGGTTATAAGATTATGTTGTAGACCTAACATTACTGGAATGAGAAAACAATCATATAGACGTCATGATATTGATTTGTTAGGATCATGGGATTGTAAGAGAAGGTTATGACTGCAGTAGCGGATCCAGGAATTTCTTTTAGGGTGGGCCAAAATAAAAATTTAATATATATTACTATTTTTGTCCATTAATATTTTTGTTGGGGTGGGACAAAATATATAAATTATACATATTAATATTAAAAAAAAAATTCATGGCCCACCCAAAAAATGGCTGGATCTGCCACTGGTTATGAGATTAGGTTGTGGACCTAATATTACTGAAATGAGAAAACAATCACATAGCCGTCATGATATTGATTTGTTAGGATCGTGAATATATATTATTGGATCTTAATCAAAAAAAATATTATTTTAGTCCTATGAGATAAATCCGATNAGCTATTTATATTTATTTTTATGTTTTGATAGTCTTACTTAGCAAATATGTCTGAACTTGTTCTTTTGATATTTAGGATCTCTTTTTGTTGTGCCAAAATCAGTCACCAATCACAGCAAGACATTATTCACCAATTAAGATCCAACAACAGCAAGAGCCAGAGAAACACAAGCTATCATCAACTCACCTTGATAATCAACATCCATCTTAACTTAACTATCAAGTTAAAATCTGGATTGTTGATGCTTTCCACGTGTGACAACAGGATCAAGAGCAACATGTTAAGTAATCATCACGTTGAAGTCGGCTAAATAACATCTTATAAAAGAGAAGGAGAACAAATGCATAAAGAGGCGAAACATACATTCGAGCTTAAGCCATTATTTTTCTCTATAAATAAAACATTACTCCATCTTTGTATGCTTCATAGTCGATATTAGAAAAATAGTCAGAGAATAATAAAATAACAGTGGACATAAGACTTGCTTACAACATACAGAGCTTATTTTAATTTCTTTCAAAGAATGTTCAAGAAAATTTAAGGTTGGTCATACAAATAGCCAAACAGAAGCAAAAGCATTCAAATCAGAAGTGTTTGATTCTTAAACCTCTACCTTTAAGCTTATAGCACAGCATGAATTTTGATAGATGCGTGAGCATGTTCAAACCTTCTATCTACACATTCCTTATTCATTAAAACTTACAATACAGACTATATTATGTAACATGCTAGTTCCAATGTTTGTTATTATGAGCTAGATAACAAGATCAAACAAGTAAATTTATAACCAATATACTACAATAATAATACGAATTTGAAGCTGGAAAGTTTAGCTCTAGATTGAAACACTGTTGGGAATTCCTTTGCCAGTAATACCACCTTCACTAGTAGGAAAGAGCAAAGTGTACGGCATCACGACAGGTCCAACGCGGTTCTTCAGCATCTTGTCATGGTTTCGTGCTATAATTCTTTCTTCAATGTCTCCCAATTTCTTTCCGAACTCCTCGAATGCTTGCAATGGATTTTTATCTGATGTCCATTCAGGTGTGTCTCTTTTTCCAAGGTACACCTCATCTGTTGAATGCCTTGACAAAATTTCTATAAGGGCAATTCCCAGAAGGGTCTGCAGCTGAGCAGTGATTGTTTTCAGGAACACTTTGTCAGGATTTGACTCTAGCTCATCATAGTCTGAAGTTCCTTTTTCAGGCATGAATCTTCTGCTTATAGTCGGGCGGTTAGGGAGGAAACCTGCATAAGGGTATTGTCCAAAGTTGACCGCAGCATGGAGAGCAGAAGCTATCCATATGATTATAGTGCATGTTTCTATCAGCTCTTCGCGATTCTGCATTTTAGGCCACCAAGGCTCATTTTTCTTGTCGCCATGACCCTCCTCTCGTAGTTCCTTCCACCAGGATTGCAGTTCAGAATCCTTTTGCATCATTTCATCGCTTTTGTAGTAGAAGAAGATATAATCTTTAACCCAGTTTTTGATTGCAAACCAGATATCAAGCCCATCAACAGCATATGGGTAGTCTTCTATCAATAGGCGGAGACCATGTGGAGAGTTAGGGTCCTCAACTGCCATTCCCCTGAATACAACAAAGCAGCAGCATTTCAAAATTAACTAAAAATTTTAAGCTTCAAATTGACAGCAAATGCAAGATTAAGATTCACCTATTCTTGAGATCTTCAGGAAGTGCCTGCTCTGGAAAAGTCCAGTTTTTGTAGATTGCAGAAGACAATTCCATGGCATACTTTGCAGGGAAAACTGTAGATTCCAGAACTCCACCAGCATTAATGAGGATCTGCCGAGCCAATGCATTTATGTTCATTGTATCACGGTAGTGAGGTTGCAGAAGCTTATAAATTGGGTGAAGCACACTCAATTGCCTATTTGTTGCAATCACAAATGGCTCAATTGCTGCATGAGTCTTCAACCTGTGACCAATAATAGACATATTAAGAACAAATTTTTTACTTGGGACTGCATTAATTTATATGCTTCTTATGTTTGTGCTTTCCTTGACAGATTCATACCAGTGGCTGATGAGTTGATGAACGCCAGAGTCATTTACAGCCACATAAGCTTTAGCCAGCTGCCAAACGGAACCTTCAACGCCCTGCTCTGATGGCGTGTAGACGTTACTAATGGCACCATACTGATCTCCATCAGGGTGTGGTTTGCTCAATTCAATTGCCAGTGGTTTCAAAGTACCATCATCTTTCAAGAAAAGGATTGTCCTGGATGCATAAGTCTTAGTGGAAGTAGTGTTTATCCTTCTCAGGTATGTCATCAGTGAATCATGGTGATCAAGTATGAATAGCTTGTTCTTCTCAATTGCCTATTCCATAATAAAATCACTTGTTAATTTTATGGTTTAAGACTAAAATTTAGTGACTACAATCGCGAAAGCATCACAAGACTGTTTGGTTACCTGCTCAACGGTCAGCCCATCTAAGTTACTCTCTATGTGCAGTTTCGTTATCTTACTATCCTGATTACCATATAGTTCAGGGTTGAGCTTGCTTCTTGGTGGGAATTCCTGCAATTAGTTAAGTAATTTTTATTAGTAAAGATCAGAAGGCATCTACTTTCTTGGTGAAGAAGAAAATGGGAGAAAGAAAACTTGTTATAAAACTTTACCTCAAGACGACTAATGATGACAGGGTTCAGTCCAGCCAGCATTTCTCTGGCAAACTCTTCATCTGTTCTCCATGCAGACCTATCCTCTGCTACAAGTTATTGAAACATTAAAAACAGGAAAAAGAAAAATTTATGGAAGCACAAACTTGAATCTGTTAAATGGCAAGAAGAGTCTTGGCCTGATATATATATATACACGTAACACATTACCTTGGATCACCTGTGGTGTTGGGAATTCAAAGAGATTATCTTCGTTGGTTGGAAAAATCTCCTTGAGCATTTCTAAGGGGATGTTTTTTCTAATGTCATCAAGAAAATGGTCCTTAGGAAGCTGAATCCCTTCATCGTAGAGTTTGTATACTTCAGCAAAGGAGTCAAATTCTTTTGGGGTGCTGTCAAGTACAGATTCTAATGCAGGCTCAATGAATTGAGATATGGATTTCAGTGCATAACCAAGAAAATCTGACATCTTCAAGTGACCAAATCGCTCATCTCTTGGAACATAGATGTTCAAGCTCATCAGAAGTGGCAGCCTGCTCTCAGTCTCAGGATCTGTTACAATAATAACCAAACACTGTCATTGAGAATGCCAGTTGTACTGGTAAAACTTCAAATTTCTCAAAACTTCCCAATGGAAAAGTACCTGTTTTTGTTGGTGGTCTGCCTGTTCTACCCCTTCGAGGATAAGGATAATCAGTAGACCCTCCAAGAACTGGTCGCGCTTTGTCATTGTCAGGATCACCCAAATCATTGTAGTATGCATAATCATAGACTCTATCCAATTCCTGGAGCTCTCCAGTTCCATCTCCTCTCAAGTTCAGGAGCTCTTGATTTCTATAATATTGCAATGGCGCCGGTGTTTCAACTGGAAGATATGTCTGCACAAACATACATGACATACAGTTAATACTAGACTCAAAATCACTTGTAGGAAATTAATGGTATACTTGCCTTGTTAGTGAAGAAAACGCGATCTTTCTTGTAATGCTTAGCAGGATAAACCCAGGAGTTACAGACAAAGTGAACCCGACCCTCTTTAGGAACATCTTCAAGTGTAAGACTCTTCAAGTAAAACTCACTGTGATGATTGTTCTTTATAATGAATGCTCCTGGAACTCCAATCTCCTCATTCCAATCAAATGTGACATTGAATGCAGACTCCCCTGCTACTAAAGGAGTGACTGTAGTAATCCACTCTTCCAAATATGCTTCCTCCCCAACCTTCCCTTGCAACCCATTGGCTATATCCATCAAAACACATCAATTCATTAGTTAATCACACTGTTTGTTACATGTCCCATTAGATCATTTTCAAATGTGAAACTGGTAATCATTCTGTATGGATTTGACCAAGGATAGTGACACACACAGGAGTTTCATTTTCAGATTAGGTGATTGTTCATAAATAAATTAAGGGCATATTCATAGAAATTACATCACTTCATGACAACTGGTTACCAATCAATGAACAGTCAATATTCTTGACTAAACTGTATAAACAGGATTTAATTATCTGGGTAATTTAACATGGTTTTACCCAGTGAAATAATTTTGATCACTGTATTTGGAAAAACACAAGAACACGTCATATGGGGTCATGCCCCATATGTGAAGTTAGACCCTTAATACAAGAAATGGGGACAAAGACTTGGTAATCTTCTAGTCAACATAAAAAAACTATAAAAAGAAAGACCAAATGAATGAGAACTTTTTGATGTTTGACTAATGGTTGAGACTTGAGAGAACTCCAGCTTTCAATTCTCACCCAAAAAAACAGTTAAGCAATTAGTGCAAAAGTTAAGACCCTGACCCATCTTCTCCAATATCTTCCTTCTGACAACCCTCTTCATTAATGGGGAAAACTTGATAACTAAACCTCATATTTATGAGCTGCCATAACGCGTTTGTCTATGTGACCATACTTTGATTTTGTATTATTACCGAAAAGATGAAACAGGCTAAAATTTTATTTCTCATCACCATACATAGATCCCTCAAGTCAGATATATACATAGATATGCTATAAATTTATAGAGAAAATCTCGAATGTCACCGGGGGTATTATATCATCCTTGAAAAATATATTTACTTTAAATAAATAAAAATATATATTATAATCATCATACCATGCATACAGAAAAAACTTTTTTCTTAAAAGTTTTCTTATTGATTATTTCTCCAACACCTTTCCCTTTTTCACACATGACTAGTTGTTGCATGAGGGAGAAGATGCAGGGTTTGTTGTGGCCACAAACAGTAGCATCAAACCCAAGAAAAAGAGCCGAAGAAACCAGAGATTTAAAAAAAAAAAAAAAAAAAAAAAAGCAAAAAGCAAAATACAGAGCAAATCAAACAAAGTGAAAAAGAAGAAGAAGAACTCCAGTGCAGTTGGATCAGAGTTAACAGCAGTTACAGCACTAACGAGCTGCAAAGAGACTCTTTTGCCAAGCAGTTCATGGAAACGATCAAGAACGGAAGCATTGAAGTCGTTGAAGTCCAAAACATTCTTCTTCATCAATACCACCGTCCGTTGATTCCTGCACTCCCCTTGTGGCATTTTATCTTCTTCCCGCCGCTGTGTGGCCAGTTACGGCGTCTATAATTTTGTGAAACATGGAGAAGTTATGAACAAAAACGAAGAAGAAGAAGTGAAGGTTTGGTTATGGAGAAATAAGAGAGAGGGAGAGAGAGGATATTTATAGGGGGATTGAAGGAGAAGTTTCAATTTGTTCAACTTTGAGAGAGGTTTCATTGCATTTCCTTCACTCCTTTTCTGAAGACCTTTCTAACACTTATTCCTCGTCTTCGACGTGTAATGTTTTATCATCTCATGACGTGGAAGATTTATTCCACCTTACTTTGAAGGCGCGTGTGCTGCATGCATCCTCGCTACTATGGTACCTATGGAGTACGACGCCCTTTTAGAATGAGAGAGAAATATGTTAGTCTACTTATATGGGTATTATTCATCTAACCAATTGTAAGTTGTCATGCAGAGATTGTAAGAGAAAGTTATGAGCTTAGGTTGTGGACCTAGTATTACTAGAATGAGAAAACAATCACATATGTTATGATATAATTGTTAGGATCATAGGATTTAAGAGAATGTTATAAGACTAGGTTGTGGACCTAACATTACTAAAATGAGAAAACAAATCACATAGACGCATGATATTGATTTGTTAGGATCGTGAATAATATTATTGGATCTTAATCAAAAAAATATTATTTAGTCCTATGAGATAAATCCGATGGTATATAATATAGTCTTGATGAAATTGAACATGCAGAATGTGGTGGCTATATACATATATATATGTTGTGTAATACATACTTACAATCTAATCTCACGAACTTTCTCTTACACCTAACGTGACAGCTCGCAATTGGTCAATTCGTAAATGGATTCTGCTTGCTCACTACGGTCATGTTGCCCATTTGCGAGCTAACCAATTGCGAACTGCCACACTGGGGTTGTGGGAGAAAGTTTATAAGATTGAGTTGTGGAGTTAATCTTATCCATATATATCTAAGATATTTTGAAATTTTAAACATGCAGATCAAAAACTACGATTAGTCTCGTTTTGATATGAATTTGTCAATAACTTAATTAAACACCTTGGATTCATCTCATTAAACGAATTGATATTTTATAGATGAACGAATGATGATTAAACATGTCGGAAACATCGATCTCATCCGTGGGTAGCCCAGATGGTCAGGTGAATTAGGGATAGTATAGATAGACGATGATCCAGATTCGATTCCTCATCTGAGCATAAATGACTTAAGTGGAGGTATAGTAGTAGGTTTCTGTGCTAGTCTCTCCTAAATATTAGTTAAAGTGTGCATAAGTTAGTCTGAACATCTTGGTTTAAAAAAAAAAAAAAAAAAATGTGAATCAAATGATATACAAGTACAAAATTAATGTCAAGATATTCTAGTTGAATAATCATTACTATTACTATTATTATTTTAGAATTAATATAAAATTATGAAGTATTAATATTTTAAAAAAAGACTCCAATTTCTTATTTACTAAATAAAATAAAAAATGATCATAGGTTAATAATTAAAATGTTGGAATTTTGATAATTTATTCATCATAATAATTAACAAAGAGTATATAAAATTACATGATATTTGACCTAAGTCAAGGATATAATTAAGTAATTGGTAATTTGCTAATTAAGTTACTTGATCCAGTTTAATTTTGATATAAAATTATTTGTAATATATATCTTGTTCGAACCTAATTTAATAACATAAGATCAAATATTAATTTTAAATAAATCACTAGCTTAATATTAAAATATGAAAAATTAGATCAACGAGGGGAATTTATATATGTACAAAGTGAGCCACATGCAAATAATAAATAAATCAAAAGTAATTTGGATTGGCTAAGATATTTAAATTAATTCCGTAATTTCAATCCTTAAGTATGCCAAACTTCATTTTAAAAATTATTTAAAGTAATTTTTTAATTATAAATCTATGTTACTTTAAAAAAAATATATATTTTGCTACTACGTATTCATTAACAAAAAATATATAGACTTATGATAAAATTGATATCAAACTTGTAACATTGAATTTGAAATGTTGATCATAATTCGGAACGTGAAATATATAAGATATTTCGATAATACGATTAAACAATAAAATACGGTTCCCCATCCAAGGGTAGTTCAAATGGTTAGAGCGAATTGGTAATAATGTGGATAAATGTATGATCTCAAGTTTAATTCTTTATATGAGCATCCGCATTTAAGTGGGGGGCTGTGACCGTGGGTTATTACACTAATTTCTCTTGAGGATTAATCGAGATGCATATAAGTTGGCTCAGACGTCGTGGTTACAAAAAGCAAAACTTGGATATAACTAGCACCCAAAAGCTAGCTGAATGGAGGAACTGAGGAATGGAGTCCAATCATATATATACAACTTTAAGAGCCTTCTAAATGACAAATACAACTTCTAACCTTAATTTTAATTCTATTAAGTTGAGGGGTATTTTAGACTTTTCAAAATCTTTAAGATTCTTAAGGGTTTGATTAGAGGGGAGCGTGCCAAGAGAGCGCGTGGGGAATGGGGGCATAAATTCCATGGAAAATAGTTGACGTCCACCTATCTTTGTCTTTATAGAGAATGATTTACCAAAGTAAATAAATAAATAAATTTTTAATTATTTATTTATTTTATCTTTACAATATTCTTCTCCCAATACCTTTTTCTTTTTCCTATTCTTTAATTTATTTTTGCTCCATTATCTATTAAAAGCCCCTCTTGTCTTGCCACATGATTTTAACTTTTTCTTATTAATTTATTAATTTAATTGATTGATTGGTTGATTAATTCATTCCTTAATCCAAGTGGGGATTTGATGATTATCTGTTTGATTAATTAGCAGGCACAGCCAGCCTCCTATTTAGAATTATAATTAGAATTTAGAATTAGTATTTTTTAATTAGCGTGTGCATGTGTGACATGTGCTTAAATTAAGTTAATATTATTATTAGGTCCAATTACTTGAATCTCAAGACCAATACTACAGTATGGCCTCTCTAATTTTTCAATAAATTAATTAATTAATTAATCCTTTTTTTGGTTTTAAAAACACCAATAGGTGAACTTTGATAATGTCAACCACTAGCGTTGTAAGATGACAAGACTTTAACCGTTTGAGTGGATTACTCAAAGGTTTTGTCTTTAAGTCCCATAAACTGACCATCTACAACCTCGAGAGATTGGTTTGGTGGTTGAGGAGACCTTGCTTCATATCTTGAGTTCTTAGGGTTTAAATTTTGGGGTCACTTATCATAATAACATTATGACTTACCTAGTCTTTTTGGGCTTATCGAGTGTTCAAAAGACCCTAAGGATTAGTTAAGGTACGCATAAGCTTATACAGACAGCCCGGTTAAAAAAAAAAAAAATTTGTCACTTACCTCATTTGTGTCATACCTAGCCCATAAGACTTGTAGGATGTTCAATGGACCTATGAGATTAGTTGAACAATTCAATATGAACACCATAAAATATAAAATTGAATTATAATGAGATTATTATTTAATTTGCTAATGCCCTAATATTCCACCTCACCTATATGTGTCAAATTTCTCATCCCTATCCCATCAAGATAAGAGTTAGGGTAACCCCAAGGGGTTTGCCTAATAGTCAAGTCAATGGTGTTTGTTCCCTTCCTTGAGTTATAGGTTCAAACCTTGGGGTGACTTACCACAATAATATGAGTTGGTAGGGTGTTCAATAGACCTCGGGAATTAGTTGAGCTACGCGCAAGCTAACCCGGATACATCGATCACCAAAAAAAAATAAGAGTTAGAGTTAGTCTCCAAAATTAGGCCACCATCTTGATTGACGTATTAAAAGAGTTTGAGTTCTTCTCGAAGATGGTCTCAAATTAGTGAACAAGTTGCTGAACCATAAGCATAAATCACTAAGTCAGTCAATTTTCTTGATGAAAACTAACAAAATCACATTAACTTTGTTATATAAATAAATTAAATTAGGTTATAAGTTTAACATTGCTTCATTAATTACATGCTGGTTAGGTTTTACTTTCCCATCATGGCTGATCATAAAAAATTTCTTAAGAGTTAATTAATTAATTGTAGAGTCGTTGGATGATGGTCCAAATGCAGTAATTAATTAATTAATAAACTAAAAGAACCCCAACCTAATCTTGATCAACCTAGTCTAGTAGTCTATAAAATATTTAATCAAACTTAGTAGTAGGTTTCAATTCATATAATACCTTGTGCTAAGTAATATATATTCCTATATAATATAGTTTAATTTCCATTTGGGCTTTAGGTTTTAATCAAATTTTTAAAGTTTTGTTTGCGTTTTGCCATGACTAATCCTAACAGTGATACCAGAGCCTCTTAGGTCTGATTGCGTATTTAATTATGTGTAGAGTTGTTGGATGATGGTCGAATGAGTAATAAATTAAGTTGTCGGAGGGAGTTAAATAATATTAAACTAATTAAGAAGCCAGCCTAATCTTGATCATACCTATTGTGAAAAAAAAAAATTAATTAAATAATCAAACTTAGTAATATATTATTCCTCAAAATAATTAAACCAATGATCTTCTCATGATAAGTAAAAATATACTTTAATTTTTCATTTGTGTCTTGTTATGCAACATGCATTACTAAATTTAGGGTCTGTTTTTTACTGTAACCACTCCAAACTATTTTAATCGACTCACTACAAGTTCAAATCTTGAGAAAAAAAAAAAAAACCTACCAGTCAACAAGATTGGTAGATTGTTAATTATGTGAACAATATTTGTGAAAATATGAATAAATAATGCAACAAGGTTTAATACGATTTTCACCCCGAGGTTTCATCGAATAACAATTTTCTAGTATCTTGTTAGAGTCATACTTGTTGGCCACCAAACGTATATATTACCTTTGATTCGTTACGTTAAACATTGAAATTTAAATGAAACAATACTAAAAATGACAACGGATAAATTATTGATAGGAATATGTTGTTTTACGAAAGCTCAGACGACAAAATTGTACAAAACCTAATTCAATATTATCAAATTTAGGGTTTATTGTTTGTATTTTATAAAATT